TCCATTTCCAGCTGAAATACCACTAGCAGGTTTGAGGAAATTGAGATTTACTTTGTTCACTGTCCACCAGCGACAGCAACAGGAAGCAAGCTGGAGCGTGTGATGTTCCCAATTCCCAGGTGCAGCTAGGAGTTCCTGTTTGAGGAGCAAATCTCAGTGGCAAATAGGGAAACCGAGTCTTGACCTGTACTCACCCGAATTTCAACACATGCCCCCACTTTGGCACAACATAACACATCCCTCCCTCTGGGGATGAAGGCACAGTCCCCGAGCAGGGCCACCAGCAGCCGAGGCAGGATGGGGAGTCCCTTGTGGCTGCGGCATCCCACCTGCCTTTTCTCTGCCACCGTGATGGTTAGCTTCGCTTGTCAACCTGCTCAGATTAAAAAACTCGTAGACAGAACAGCAAGGTGTCTGTGAGGGTGTTTCCAGAGATGATTGGCATGTGGGTCAGCAAGCTATTAGGGAGACAGGCCCTGAATATGGGTGGCACCATCCCATAGGGTGAGAGTCTGCACGGAACAAAAGCAGAAGAAAGAGAAACCCAGTAGCAATTCATTCTCCCCTCCTCCTCCTCCTTGGAGGCCCTGAAGGGAACAGCTTGCCTCCACCATGATTGTAGCTCATCGAGGGCCCAAAAGCAATGGATCCAGCTACCCATGAACTGAATGCTCTGAAACCATGAGTCAAAATATACACATCCTCCTGAAAGTTGTTAGTCTCAGGTATTTTGTCACAGCCACAGAAAGCTGACTGGCATAACCACCCTCCATACATGCCCACCTTGCATAGAGCATGTGCTTAATGGCCCTCTGAGCACACATACAGGGGAAACCCACCAGTCTAACTAGGTTGCAAAGGGGTAGCACACTGTGATTCTGTCCAGAGCAGCGAGGCTGGGGGTGGGGGACACAGCCACACTTACCATCAAATATCAACTCTGTGCCAGGCACAAAGCTGATGCTGGGGTTGCTACAGTCAGTGACATGTAGACAGACAGACAGACAGATGCACTAGGAGGACAGCAGATGCCTGACCCAGCAGAGGACAGGTGACGTGGTTAAATCAGGGAAAGCTTCCTGGAGGAACCTCTAAGCTGAGATTTGAAGCACTGACAGTCAGCAATATGTCAGCAGACCTGGGAGCCAGGAAGCCCAGGAATTAGCTAGCATCATCCAAAGCATGAAAATCAGCTGCTGTAGCTGGGCTGCACTCTGTGAGGGACACGACCTCTGAGGGGTGGCCCCCGCAAGCCCTGAAAGGATGGGGGGCAGGCGGGGAACCTGCACATGACTTCTGCAGGGCAGACAGGGTGACACCAGCCTGGGGCTGAGCCCAGGCTTCTCTGATGACAACTGTCTTTCTGCACTGCTAACAAGCCTGGAGGTGTCTCGTACCACTTGTCTGGTGCTGCATACCACAAGGGGTCACAGTGAGGACAGCTGACCTGACCACAGCCAGAGGTTTTAGACTCAGGAAAGAGGCAGTCTAGGACACCAAGCCCTAGAAAATCTGAGCCTGGCCGATTTATAGAAACAAAAGATGTAAGAGAGGCTACAGGGAAATAAGAAGCCTCTTGTTTAATGGGTTCAGGCTTCTGCTCAGGTGCTGAGAACCCCTGGGGACAGAACGTGGGGATAGCCGCACATTATGGAAGCACTTAATGCCCCTGAATTCCACACACACACCCCAAGCCTGTCTCAGGCCAGGCCTGGTGGTACGTGCTGTCCCAGCACTCAGCAGACTGAGGCAAGAGGGTCATAAATTCGAGGCCAGCGTGGGCTGGACCACACAGTGAGACCCTGGCTCAGACAGAATGAAACTAAGCTAAACTCTGTCTCAGCAGGGCGTGGTGGTACACACCTGTAGTCCAGCTATTTGGGAGGCTGAGACGGGACAATCCCTTGAGTTCTCAAGTTTGAGATCAGCCTAGGCAACAGAATGAGACAAGCTCCCTCAAAAACATATCTAAACTGGCAAATTACATGGCATAGAATTTTATCAATTTTTTAAATTGATACAATTTTTAATTGATTTTTAATTACATTTCTTCCTGGCTTTGGAGAATAACCAAATATCTAAATATCTATAAGATGCATAAAGGCTCAGGTCTAATACCTAGCACATAATAGATGTCCAACACAATACTGTTTTTATAATTGTCTAAGTCACAAATGAACACATTTGGCATCAGAGGTCTTGAAGGATGGCCAAAGACTTTCTATTTCAATTAAGTATTAATTACTTTCACCATCATTAGAGAATATTTCTTACACCTCCAGATCATCAGCCTTCAAGTTCAATTTTTCTCCCTGGTGCTTGTTTTCGGCTCCCACAATAAACTGTTTTACCGTTTCAATTATTTCCTTTTCAACCATCATGATCGCCGTACTTAAAATCCAATCAGGCTTCTAATTTTAAGCATCTCTTTTGTGTACAGCGCCAACCATTGACAAGCGTCCTGAACTTAACATCTGTTCTTAGCAATCAACGGTTTTAATTTTCAGAACTGAAAACATGTTCGAGGCTCTGTGATTCACGGCCTCGCCTCAGAACTTCTCGGTGATAGCCAGGGTTCTGAAAGATGATGGCCTCGGGCTGCAGGGCCTCTGACACAAAGCCTCCCCCTGGACACCAGGCAGCCCGGGAAACACTGTCACAGGCGCGTGCACTCTAATCTTCAAGTAAACGTACGAATACGAACAGAACCTGTGGAGAAATCTCCCCAGAGGTCCTGCAGCCCTGTCTGGGAGCAAGAAACCACCAAAAGGTGGCTCCTTAACCTGGTGACTGTCACCCATGCTGTGTGCAAAGCTGTCAACATCCATGCCAATGGTCTGTGGCTCACAAACAAGCGCGGTATGGGATCCAGCCAGAAACTGCCCTGGACCAGGTCCCCAGGTGGCTGCTGGGAAGAGGGGATGGGAAGGAGACAAAGGTTCTTTCACTCTGGGCTGCGAGGGGTGACACACTAGCTCAGATGGCAGCAGCATGCATGAGTGTGCAAAAGGAAAGCCTTGATTTGTTTGACTTCAATCAGATGCCAAATAAACATAAATTGGTCAAATGAAGATCAATAAGCACAAAATCCTGTAAATACTAAGGATATTTGCTATTTTCAATAGGAATTTTAACTTTGTTTCAAGATAGGGTCTCCCTCTATAGTTTAGACTGGTCCTCAACTCACTATGCAGCCCAGGCTGGCTTCAAACTCACAATGATTCTCTGCCTCCCAAGTGCTGGGATGACAGGTGAACACCACCATAACCAGTTGAAATTTTAATATTCCTAGCTCTCCAGAACAAAAGTAACTTTCTGCTCCAAAGTGGAGAAGCTCTCCCCCATCACCAGCTTCTCCATGGATGAAACCCAGCAGCCCATGGAGTCGGCTTTCAGAAGGTCACGCAGAGTCCCTGCTGGACACCCTGTCCCTGAGGGGTCCTTGGGAGAGAGGAGAGCCAACTCTTTCATCTAAGATTTGCACACCTGAACCCCATCCTCCCCTCCACTCCAGGACTACCCTCCCCTCAGGACATCCTGGACGACCCACCTGCACCCCAAGCTGCACCTCCCCCACTCCATCTGGGCCACACAGAGCCCTAGACCTTCTCATCTTCCAGAGTTCTCCCTATCGACATGATTAACGGAACCTTGCACTCCCCGCCACACCTGGCCCTTCCCGCCTTGTCAGAAGACCCAGCAGGGTCCCAGTCCAGGGCCACAGTGTGGGCACATGGAGACACGGATCCATGAAGCACATTTGGTTTCTCCTCATTTAACTTGAATGCTCTGACTGGCCACTCAGAAAATGGACTCCTGGCTTCGACCCAGGATGCAGGAGTACATGATCCTTCAACACCATCCTAAGAAATCACGTCCGTGTGCTGTGCGGGGCGAGGGCTCACGCTGGCCTGTGAGCAAATCTCCAAACCGGAGAAAGAGCGGGAACTGCTGGCTGCAGCAGGAAGAGCTGGAAGCTGCAGCAGGCCTGGTGGTTCAAAGAGCAGCCAGGAGGACAGCCTGGCTGGGGCAGAGCAAACAGCAGGCCAGCAAGGCGGAAAGGAGCAGACGGCCAGAGGCGGTAGGTAGACCCCGGGCAGTGTCAAAGTCACGTGACCCAACCTGCATCTTCAAAGGCCTCTCGCCTCTGCTGAGCTCAAATAAGTAGAGGACAGGCCCTGGGCAGAGCAGAGACCCCACAGAGGCGGCTGTAACAGAATCCAAACACCAGACACGAGAAGTGGGAAGATCTGACAGAAGATTTTGCAGTTGGAACCAAATGGACAGAGAAACAGAAACACAGCAGATAAACAACAGACACATCAACAGATAACAGATGGATGACTAAGGTGGGCACTTGCGCATAGCTGAAAGGGTATCTGTAGTGGACCGCTGATGAGAAGCTCATGACCCTTATACGCTAAAAGCTTCCCATGTTCACATTCGAGTAGGAGGATATTAGGAATGATACGCACTCAAAGGCTGAAAGTGATTTCTCCTGGGGAGAAGGATTAGCAAGGGCATAAGAGGAATGAGCATTTTCTACTTTCATGCATTTTTATTTAAAAAAATAAAAACATGTATTAGCCAGGCACGGTGGTGCACACCTGTAATCCCAGCACTCAGGAGGCTGAAGTAGGAGGATTGTTGTGATTTTGAGGCCAGTGTAGGTTATGTAGAGTTCAAGGCCAGTCTGAACTACACAGCAAGACCCTGTCTCAGAAGACAAAAATTAATTAATTAAGCACATATTAATTGCTTCTCATGCTGAACACAGGCAGTCACTTGGTAGTGAGGCATTCAAGCCTGTTTGGGTGACTCCAAAGGGTCAACCATCAGGTGGCACGTGGGTTCTAAGGGGGCCCTTCCCAAGCCTCAGGTTCCTCACCGGACCACAAAGATGAGGACACCTGCTCGCCTGGAGGCTGTGACCATGTGCGTGAAGTGTCCAGCAGAACCTGGAACACATAGACCCTCGTCACCATCAGTTCCCTTCTTACCCCCCGCAAGGATTCCGAAGATGCCCAGGAGGTGAGGCTCAAAGTGCCCCAGGGTCCAGGCAGGCAGGAAGGTTACTGGGCTACAGAGATTCCAGCACAACCCCCTGGAAAACAAAAAAAAAAATGTCAGGGGTCCCTCAGAGGACAAAGCAGAGTCACCTCCTCCGCACCCCTCCAGGGAAAGGCAAAAGGTAATGTGGAGACTGTCCCACCCTGGCAGGAAGGACAGATACGGGGAGAGACCCCCCATCTCCACTCAAGGTCAGGAGTTCCTGCCAGCTTGTGACTTTTCTCTCTAGGCTTGTGAGAAGGCAACCCTGGGGAAAAAGCAAGAAAAGCTGAATGCTATTTATCTAAAATCACGTCTACGTTCCAGCTGCTATAAAACATGCACGCTCTTGCCAAATGGATGCCGAAAGAGCTTTGATCTCCATTTTAGGCGGAAATGACCCGTTCCCTCCCTAATGCAAATATATGGTTTTCGTATCTCAGATCTGCTCAGTGAGACACACGGCACATTCTTAATTATTTTTGAAATGATTAAAGCCAGAATCATAAATCTACGCTTTTGACATGACATGGTGATTTGACCCCCAGACATACCGTAATGAGTTATTAACAGCACTTCCCAAATCTACTGAAATTTTTTTTCCAAAGCGATTTGCTAATTAATAGCTGTTCACACAACGATCATTTATGAGTAATTAAGGAACTGTGCTGCTTTATTTTGTGATGAGAACATAATTAAGTCCATTAAAATTATTTGTATAGTTTTTAACCTTCTGCCAGAAACAAATGAGCCTAGTCTAAGGGTAACACAGGCTTGATGACGGTACCTCAAGGTTACATCTCCTTCGTGACACTTGCTTCCTGAAGCTTATTTTCTAGCCCAGAAACTCAGAGTTGGTCCTCAAACCTCGAAAGGCACCAAGGCAGAGCCTGGGGGAGGGTTTTCCCGCCCTCCCTGTTTCCCACCTCTCGCTCTGTGACATCGGCCTGCTGTTCTGGGCTTCTGGTTGTCTCTGCCTGACCGAATTCCCTACATCATCCCCAACCATCCTTCGGACTGAGCCCCTCACTCTCCATTTATAACCAGCTGCAGGCTCTTTGAAGCCAGAAATGTAACTCACTATTTAAAGAATAACCCATCACAATAAAATAGTTTATTCCAGGATTGCAAACATGGCTCACCATTAGGAATGATTCATATGATCTCTTAGGTCAGGGCATCAATTTTTAACTTTTGTTAAATTCAACACCTACTTCTCATAAAGATTCAAAAGAGGGACAGCAGACTGACACTTGCCGAACGTAAGCAAGTGTTGCTACAAAGATCCACGTGCCAAAGAAAGCCTTTTTAAAAAATGTATTAGTATACACTTCCAGTAGACAATGAGTACCTTCACTGTGTGCATTTAGTACCTGTATAAGACACATTTTTCTTTTCTCTCTTGTTTTGCTGTTTGAGCCAAGGTCCTGCTACATAGTTCAAGGGGGACTTGAACTCGTTATGCGGCCCAGGTTGGCCTTAAACTCATGGTGATCCTCTGCCTCAGTAGTAGTTGAAAGGATTTTGGCCCAGACAGGACACTGTAGCCAGGAAAGCCTCAGCGGGAACCAGGAAGCTCCTATCTCCCCCACCCCTAGGGATTTACCTGTGACTCTATCTCCCCCCACCCTTAGGAATCTGCCCCTGGCACCAAACATGTGCCAATGAAAAGCTTAGGCTACTTATATACTCCTTCATGCCACGTGTCCGCTAGAGAGATCACTGGACTGGGGGGGGGGGGCGGGGGGGAGTGGTGTCGGTTATCTCTCTCCGTGTTCTCAGAATAAAGGCCTCTTTTGTTTTATACTTCAAATCTTTTGGAAATAATCCTATCAGTAGTAACAGCTGTCCTTGTTATCACTGGCCCATCCACTGTGACAGTGTGGATGGATGTGACAAGAGATGCCCTATGCAGGTCCAAAGCTCCACAGTGGGCATCACCCCCATGGATGCCACGCACGTCTGACAGCATCCTGACAAGCCTGTGATTGACCCATCTTCCTGTACCATACATCAAACATCCACCTCTCGGGCAGCTGCAGGGATAGGCTAAAGGCACACATCCCAAGTTCTGCCAGTGAGAGCCAGCCACATGGCTGAGGACTCAGAAAAGAAATACGAAAGCTAGGCGTAGAGGTGCACACACACGTGTAATCCCTGTACCCTGGGAAGCTGAGGCAGGAGGATTACAAGTCTAAGCCGGCCCAGGCAATTTTGCACTTACAAAGATCCTGTCTCGAAATAAAAATTTTAAAAGTCTTGGGATATAGCTCAGTGCAAAGGCCCCAGGTTCAATCCACCATATCAAGAAGAGGAGGAGACAGAAGAGAAGAAGGAGGAAGGGCAGGGGAATAAAGGAAAGGAGACAGGAAGCAATGGCCCTGTGCAAAGAGCTCAGTCTGCTAGCTGTGACCTCTGTGACAGAACTTTGGAAACTTGGTCCCTGGTACTTAGCACCAAGTCTCAGGCAGAGAAGCAGGGTTACTTTCCTAACAAATTCCACAGTGGGGTGGAGCATGCATCTTAGCCACTTCATTCCTGGCTGTCCTAGTCCCACCACAAAACTATCTTTTTGAAAAAAAACAGGGTCTTTCTAGTAGCATAGCTTGACCTTGAACCCATCACCAACATGGCAGGAAACCACAGAAGAACCAAGCCATGTCCATCTGTACCGCCCATCCAGAGACAGGTGACCACATTCACATCGGCCATGCCCACTCACAGAAGCAGGACCACAGGAACTGTGCCCCCAGATTCCTCAAGGCAGCAAACTCCTCCTCTCCCCTTGAAACCCTTTGTTCTACCCTGGCTTCCTGCTGATTCTGGAGGGAAGTAAACAGCCACGGTTGCTCCTACAGAGATTCCTCAGGGGGGCGCTCTCCCCTCTGTGTCTTTAACATTATGTGCTGAAACCCAGGACAGGACACCCCTCTTCAGAGGGACTTTCAGCCCTATCTAGAGTCCCAGCTGTCCTAAAGAGGCCACCATGTGGCTCTGGCTTCTCAGTCCACACCCCACTCCCCACCAGCTTGGGCTTAGGTAAGACTTTGTGCCTTTAAAACTTCGCCCCTGTCTCTGCCTCCCTCCTCCTCACCCCCCACCGCCCCTCTCAGCCTCTGCCACCTGGGGGCTGGGGGCACACAGAGCCCAGCAGGAGCCCAGGCTGCCAGCAAATCCTCCCTCACCTGACTCCCTCCTCCCCACCACCTTGAGGCACAGCCATGGGCCACTGAGCCTGGGCCACCCCACCACTGGCTAAGGGCCAGTGTATAGCAGGACCACAGCGCCTGTGCATGCAGCCTCCCTCTGCACAAGCACATCCTGGCTAAGGAAACTGTCGTGCTCTAACCAAAACACCATCATCTTTTTTGTGTGTGTGTCTTTTTTGTTTTTATCGGTACTAGGGATAGAACTCATGACTGCCTGCTTGCAAGGCAGGCGCTTATGCTGCTGAGATAAATCCCCAGCCCCCATCATCTTGTTCTGTATGAGTCCTTACCCTGAAAATCTTGTGCTCTGTCTCAACCTTTGTCCTCTTTTGTGAAAGACAGTTGTTCCTGGAATTAGCAGACCACAAGCTGCAAATTCCTGTAAGGGAGGAACTTGTTGACCACCAACTATGAAACTTCCCATAAAAATTCTGTCCTCAAGCAAAAAGGGAGCAAAGGTCTTCCTCAACCTTATTCTCCTTCCACACCTTGCTTTGCAGTTTTCTCCTTTATAAGCCTGACAAAATTTTAACCTGGTTACACAGCTTTGCAAACTCCAACTGCACTCTGTCGCTGGTGCCAGCTTAAATAAAGCGCTTCTTTTCCTTTAAAAGACGTCTTGCCCTGTTTTTGGACATCTCAGGGTCTCATTTTTGGGGTGCAACAGAAACCCCCACACAGCAGCTACGTGACTCCATGAGGAAGATGGTTGGAGTCCAGCCAGAGCCCACCCAGGGCCACCTCACTGCTCACAGTCAGAGCCTGGAGCTCCGGCTGCTGCTCCATCCTCTACCATATACTGCCCCAGCCTGTACCCTGCCACACACTGATCTGGACTACTGACTTCCTCTCCCTCCTCCCTTCTACCCCCACGCTGCAGAGTGGCAGGAACAAATGACAGTTTGTTCTCCCTCTCTCTGTCAGTCCTCTCCCAGCTCAGCCAGCATCTGAGCTCTTTCTCTTCAGACTCTTAACACCCAAGTTTTCCTCCAACCAGCTGAAAGTTAACTTAATTTTTTTTTTTTTTGGTCTTTTTCATTTTTATCGGTACCAGGGATCAAACTCACGACTGCCTGCTTGCAAGGCAGGCGCTTATGCCACTGAGCTATATCCCCAGCCCCAAAAGTTAACTTTAAAACCCTCAATTGGAGACCACCCTTCCCTCTAGGAGGTTAAAATAACAAAACTTCTAAAAATGTTTGCCTTTAAGGGTGTGGGGGAGACAACAGCTATCAAAAAGTAATTAACACCCCTACTTTCCATATGCTAAAACTAATAACTAACTCTTCTGGGTGTTTAACAACTAAAGATTAGAGACCAGTACTAGAGAGATAACTAGGGGTGGAGGGAAACCAACCAATAGTTTGGCCCTGGCCCTCCACGTCAGCAGAAACCCAGCACCTGAGAGAACCTTTCTACAAGATTCTATAATTTTGGTGAGTCACCCAATCTCCTGAGCAAGGAGATTGCTGGACCCCAGGGAACAGAGAGCAACAAATGTACAGTGTGTCAAAGGGTCACCAAGAGAGAAGTGCCCTGTGTTTTCACATAAAGTGGCATGATCAGGCAAGACCATGACCCGTCCTGGAAGCTGACACTGACAGAGATGCTGAGAGGCTCTCTGCACATGGTTCCAAAAGTAACCCCTGAAGACGCTTACCTGACCTTGACAATCAGCAAGAGGTCAATCTTGATTAACACAGGTCTCATTTTCACTTGGTCTTAAACACCGAGCAGAAAAGTATACTCAAACGAGATAGATAAACTTTTGTCATCTGTGTGCCCTTCAAAGCAGCAGTTATTCACTGTAGAGGACACTTCAACCAGTCTCTTGCTTTCCTAAAAT